TTTTTTTTCTTCTTTGTCGGTAGGGTAAGGCTAGAGGTGGCACGGAGGACGGGAGTTACGGCAAATTAGCGGAAAGCACTGGGTCACAGCTGGCCGAGCGCGCCCCAATCTACGTCCTGTGATTTAGTGGCGCGCGCGCTCGAACGACGCACAGACTTCATTACTAAATTACACAATAGCCCAGCCGTCGGTGGATCAATTTTTTCGTGGTTTCGCCGGAGCCTCGTTCAATTACCGTGATCCGTGGTTAATCGCGCGCGGATGCATGTTCCGACCGAACGGCCGAATCGATCCGAAAACCATTCGGGTACGCACAACTTTCTTCGGTTACGTTATCACGTAACGTTGAAAAATATTTACACGCCGTACGTGTATTGCCTGTCAGCTATTGATTAATATTTCCGTTCAACGCATCGTCGTTCGGATATTTCTGACAATTTGTCTGACAATTTCTGCTGTTCACTTTCGTTTGTTAAGTGCCGGTTTGTTCTTCTCGTTCGCGTGATTCCTTTTTATATGGATTTTTATGCATTGTTGTGTTAAATAAAATACTATTGTTATGTTATTGTATTAATAATATGTGTCATCATCATTATTATTATTATAGTTTGCTGTTATTATACTGTTCCCTCGTACTACATTATACTATATTATTATAATTACTATAGGTATATTATTATAATTATTATGTACTACCTTACTAATGTATTATATTAGGTTCTAATATTACTATATTATATTATATTACTATATTATATTAGGTTCTTATGTTACTACATTATATTAGATTCTAATATTACTATATCATATTATATCACTATATTATATTAAGTTCTAATATTACTATATTATATTATAGGTTCAATTTCTCTGTAATTACATTCAGAAAAATGTGAATTTGTACAGAAATTCACGGTTTCATTGTATAAAATATAAAATACAATTTAAAATGATATAGTCTTATAAAATATAATTAAAAAGAGAATAAGCCAATGTACTCTACTTTCGATGTTTGATATATTTTTGAACAGTGCGCTCTTCAATTTCCCACAAATACATAAATACGTACAAATCAGCAATCTGCACATCACGCGAGTTTAAAGATAGACTACTAAAACTTTGCTAGATTTGTTTAATTTATGTTAAATTACTAGAAATTTACACCAAATCTGCTTTGTTTATATTAAATTACTGAGAACTATAATTGTATGTATTAAAATTATAAATAAAATAATTATTAAAAAAAAAGTTATACAATTTGAAAAATATAATAATTTCATTATCGAATAAATGTAATTGTTGTTATAAATTTAAAAATTTCTTTTATTAATAACAAAAAATTAAACTTGAAAAATGATAATATAATTATTATAATAAATATATATGCATATTAGAAAATAATAAAGTTTAAATTTACTTTTTATGATTCTTTTGTAAACTATGATATTAAACAAAAAATTACATATATATATATATAAATAATAATAATGATGGTTTAACAGAATAAATATTATAACTGATATAAAAATCACACAATCCTTTCACGACGAAGATTCACGTTGAAATCGAATCAAGTTGAAAACCTCCAATGCTGTGTAATTGTTCTGATCGTTTGCAATGAAACAACAGTAGCTGGGGAGCGAAATGACAAAGCAGACGAACGCCAAAGAAATAACGGTGCCATACTTCTGTCGACTCCGATAAAATGTACGTGTAACAGAATTCGAGTTGTTGTCGACTACGATTTAATACCGTTCCAGAGAAGCTGTTAACCGTTAATTGAAGCGAACGAGCGATAATTGCCGCGTTACTGGCCACTTTATATCTCGGTACGTATGTATGTAGGCACGCGTAAATCGTAGTAAACGATGCGTCACGCGCAATCGCCCGAGCTAATCACGGTTCGAACACGATCCGGGATCGTTCGTAACTCGCCGATCGCCGCGGAAGTGCTTCGATTCGCGCGATTTCGCCCGAGACACTATCGTATGACGTTGAATCGTGCGAGCGTCGACTGCAATTGGCCGAGTGATTCATAGTGAAGAAAGGGGAAATGAAGATGAAGTACGAGAAAACGTGGCACAGATGGACAAATAGAAGTGAGGATCGAGTCGTTGCAGCTTGAGCCTCGAACATCTCCATTTATCATCCGCATCATTCTTGAGTATCTTGACATCCGATCGTTATGTTATCAAAATCGTCGTTGTTGAAATGAGCTTGGAAAAATTCGACACGTTGTTTCTAATTATTACTAACATTCGAACGCTGTAAAAGCTGAAGTCCTCAACGCTCGAATCTTTGAACTCGGACACTCGAAAGTCTATACAATGATATACGATTATAAATAGTATCGTAATGTAACGCTCAGATGTAAAATTAGTCAGATGTAAAGATTCTGATTAAACAAATCACGATTCGCGAATGATTTGGGATAGAACCATGCATGTATTGGTTACTTACGAGTAAGATTCCAAGTAGAGTCTCGTTTAGTTGAATTTCGATTTTTCGAATAATCTTAATGTTCGAATGTCATTAATTTAATGGATTATTAAACCAGAGGAGATAATATTCTAGTTACTGAAAGATCCTATTGCTATTTCTCTACTATAGTAATACAAGGGTAATATAATATTGGAACGTAAGGGACATCCAAATATTATAATATAATACTCGAATTAATATATAACATTCGAATATTATATTATAATATTAATACAATAATATTAATTAATGAATAGTAATATAACACCTTATAATAAATGAGAAACATTAGAATATTATAAAATTATATTATAATGCGATATTCGAACACGAGAAAGGTTCTGCTATCTACATCTAACGATAAAACGAAAAAATAAAATAAAGATAGAAGATGGAGTATTGGAAATTAGCGTGATCAAGAAACGAGCTCGTAAATGAGACAGTTCACACTCGTGTTCGCCAATCTGTCGGTTTAAAGGTTAGTTGCGGTACAATACTCGAATATTAATACAACAATATTAGTTAATTACTAATAATATAATAGTACGTTACAATACAGTTGAAACGTTAGAACATTAATCGAATATTACACAGTTAC